TAACTGCCAGGAAATTTCTCCTCAGTTCTAAGTTGCTTCTCTCCTTGATTAATTTTCACCCATTGCTTCTTCTTCTACCCTCAGGTGCCTTGAATAATAGTTTGACTCCTTCTTCTTTGTGGAACCTCTGAGATATTGGAAGACTGCTATCATGTCTCCCCTAGTCCTTCTTTTCATTAAACTAGACATACCCAGTTCCTGCAACCGTTCTTCATATGTTTTAGTCTCCAGTCTCCTAATCATCTTTGTTGCTCTTCTCTGCACTCTTTCTAGAGTCTCTACATCTTTTCTACATCATGGTGACCAAAACTGAATGCAGTATTCCAAGTGTGGCCTTATTCAATGTCTATGGATATTCTCAGTCATCCAGGTCATGTTTGTCCCAAAGGTGTTTTTTCAAGCGGCAACTGGATTTTCTGTTTTTTTCTTTAAAGATGTTTTGCTTCTTATCCAAGAATGAATGTGAAACGAGAATGAATTGATGAGAAGCAAAACATCTTCAAAGAAAAAACAGAAAGTCCAGTTGCCTTTTGAAAAAACATCTTTGGGATATTCATTCAATAATCCTCTATTTCAGGTTAGTTATTTATTTTTTGCTTTAATGTTTGATATGGGAATAATTTTAAACACATGGAAAATACTCATAATGTTTAATTAATGGTGTAGAAATATAAATATGCATGTTTAAAAACATTTCCCCCTTGTTCCATCCAAGGTTTGTCCTGATCCTACTTCTTTACTGGAGTGCAATCCAGAAAAGCATATCCCTCAGCACATAAAGCTATTTACCTCCAAGCATCAATTCATCATCTCCATCACTATCAATCAATAGAATTAGGAAGCTGGACTCATAACTATTTAATTCTATTTCTCTTTCACTGTAAGTAATAAAATTTGATGTGTTCTTAAAATGAGCATTACTGAGCTTTTTTGGCTACATACTCAATATCCCAAAGTAAAAGCTGCATTCCCTCAGCTCAAGAAGACGTGGAGTAACATTTCCTGACTGTGACTCCTTCATTAAAGTCATGTCACTACTTATTTATCTGAATAAATTTGGTGCGGATTTTGAATTGTAATTGATGTCTGAGAAGAAGAAGCAACAGCCTGTGATGTTAGCATTTGCACCAATTCAGTTTCTCCAGCAGGAGACCTTTTCAAAAAGGGCATGACTCATTACCCTGAGGTCAGTTTTATTTTCTCAAGGCACAATTCAGTCTTCTTTAGAAAACTTGTCAGAAAATCCCTTGTGATTTTATTAACCTTTTCTATGGTGGGTAGTACGTTAAGCTTTATTTTCCTAGATTGTGGTACTCCAGTGGACTGTAAAAGGAGGAGAAAGAGAGAGGGTGAGCGATTTAGACATTTGACAAACCTGAAGTAAGTTGCTACGGATAGTGCTTATGAAGGATTCTTTTGTATAAGATATTATGATAGAGACATTAAAACATATTCCTTCTTTCCTTAATCCATCATCCATAAGCTATTGCAAAAGGAGACAAATCACACCCACTTTATTATTCATTCATTTATTCATTCTTTCTGTTTTTGTGGCCACTCATTTCAACAATGCAACTCAGGATAGCTTACAACATGCAAAAACACTTTTAAAACCCCAATATTAATGGGCACTTTTTAAAAACAGTGATGGTCATGAAAGATCAATCCAAATCAAACAGTTAATAGAAGCTTATCAACTTATCTAAACTTCTGGCCTTCAGACTGAAGCCCAGTCATGAAAGTTCAGAACAGATGAATGAAACATATGAATAGTTGAGGTTCAAACAGGGAAGCTAATTGATGGAAGATTTTGATGGCAGATACAATACACCATGGGGGGTTACACTAATTAAGGGGCTTGGTCACTTAAAATGTTTCTAAAAATAGATTAAATAAAAATCAATAATACCATTTAGCTTAATTTAGCTAGAAATCTATTATATTTTAACACACATTTATAGTAATCCCCATCCAGTATTTTATGTGATTTTCAGGTTTAAAATAAATTAAGAGTTAATTTAGCTGGCATAAAATCCAGCTAGTTTACTGCTAACATCTGCCAATCAAGCTGCCATAGTTGGCAAAAAGATTAACAACCCCTGTCTCTCTTTCACTTCTATGTTTCCAAATTCTTCAAATGGCCAAAGGCCCAGAAGAGACTAAAATGAAAGGAAAGAGTTCTTAAGCATCCACTGATACTAAAAAGGAAGGAGTCTAATTCTCTCTAGCCTTTGGCCACTCTGCTTGGGATTCTAGGAGTTATAATCCAACTCCCTGGAAGGCACTAAGACTGGTCTTAAACCAGTAGCAATCACTGCATGGATTGGAATGTACTTAATCATGCCATGAGGATGTTTAAAAAGTGAAATGAACTGTGCATGCATAGCAAAGATGTGTCAGCAGGGTGGTCTTGTAAGGAAGCTGAGCAAGATCAGGCCAGGTAAATTCTTGAATGGTAAATGATCAGAGAATATCAGAACTATAGGCTATGCGGGAAACTGAAAAACCATCCTGGAAGAAGCCCTGGCAAATCTTCCATATTATGGCTGAGAAAAACTGCAGGGTTATCAGGAATTCAGTTTGATTCAAAGGCATCTTTTTTTTAATTCTCATCAGTAAATTAGCTATTTGATCAGTGTTAAAGTGAAAAAATATCAAAGGACCAGATTTTTGCCTATTGGATGGAAGTAACTAGTATCAAATTTCTACATCAAGGTATTCTAGATTTTTAAAAGATGGTATTTCAAATTTTAAGCATAACATACAGGATTGTATGGTTTTGATTATGGGCAAATCGTTGACGTAATATGTGTCTGCCATTGTGGAGAACTGATTTAGCTCGAGGCTGAGTTGTTCAGTTCTCAGTGTTCTTTGAGTTTGTGTCTCTTCCTGGAAACATTTCATTAGTAGGCCATGTAACATCATCAGTGTGTCGAGGAATGGAGTTTTATGGCTGTTTGGTTTGGCAGCTTGCCTTGCCAGCCATGACCAGGGCATTGTTTCTTCCCTCTTTGCTTTTGGGGTGGAACATTGTCTATTTTTTATTCTTGTTTCTCTAGTCTAGTGCAATGAAGGGGTGGATCTGTTTAAATTATTTGCTTTTTTCCACTTTAGATTGCTTCCTTTCTTGAATAGTTTATGCAAGGTTGTTATCTCATTGTGACTGTTTATGCCTGACTCATCGGAATGCAGAGTGCCATGGCCATGCCTCTAGGAGTTATCTTGAATTCTTGTGGTTTCAGTTTCTAATGGAAAGAAAGCAACCAAAGTTCAAGGAAAGAAACAAAAGACCCAAACACCTCCTTCTCATCCCACACCTATTAACTAATACAAAGATAGCCAGAAATTCTAATCAAGGCTGCTAAAACAAGCTAATGCACACCTCAGCTCTACTTTTCCATGCTTCTTGTCTGTAGGATTCAGATTAAGAGAGTTAGAAGGGATCTTGTAGGTCATCTAGTCCAACCTCCTCCCAAGCAGGAGACCCTACGCTATTTCTGACCAATGCCAGTCCAGTCTCTTCTTAAAAGCTTCCAGTGATGAAGCTCCCACAACTTCTGAAGGCAAGCTGTTCCATTGGTGGATTGCTCTCACTGTCAGAAAATTTCTCCTTATTTCCAGGTTGAATCTCTCCTTGTTCAACTTCAATGACCAATCAGTGAATGAATGATTTGGTAAGCGAGACCAGTTACCTGAATTTTCTTTCAGTTTTGTGCCCATCCATGCATGCCACAGAACCAAATTTTATGGCCAGTTCATGGCCTACTCATGGGGGTTCTAGTCTATTCAATTCCAATGAATTCAACCATAGGTGGGCTCTTCACCCACTGACCACATTTCCTATCTTCCCCCACAAACTGCAATAAGGCATCTTTCTTCCATCATATTCTGACTCAACTCCAATTCAATTCTGAGAACTCTAAGAACAATACAGGTTTACTATGAGTACATTCCAATGCATTTCTGAATGTGTTGCCTTTTGCAAGAATTAGAATGAATGATTACAGTTTTTGTAAGAAATTTAATTTTAAACCAATTTACTTTGGCAAGTGACAACCCCTGCAAACAATGGCTGAGCTTTTTCGAAAGGCAAGGACTTTGTTTGTTTTTCCTTGAAGACATTTCACTTCTCATTCAAGAAGCTTCTTGGGTGAGAAGTGAAATATCTTCAAGGAAAAACAAAGTCCAGTTGCCTTTTGAAAAAGCGCTTTTGGGACAACCATGACCTGGATAACTGAGAATCTCCATAGACATATGACTGAGCTCATAAGTAAAGCAGATTTGGCCTTGGTCAATATTTGGCTAGGAGCCATCAAGAAATTCCAAGGCATTTGGCTAGTTGAAAAAAATCCTGGGAGAAAGCTGTGCCACACCTATTTCAAAAAAACTGTCTGGAATACAGTCACAGGCTCAATTTGAAGTGAATATTACCTTTTTAAATATAATAAATCCCAACACTTTACATCTATGGCTAAAGGGTGGGGAACTCAGGCTGTGTCAGGAATGATCATTCTGTGTTCCAATCCTGCTCCCTTTGGGGATTCCTGTTGTTAAATTGGCTCGCTTTACAAATCAAAACAAGCTGCTCCAAGCTGTCAGCATTGCCTGGCATCTGCAAATCAAGCTGTGTTCTTTCTGCTTTGTGCTCCAAAGAGTCCAGGCTCTGAATGTAATTGGCAATTCTCTTGTCAATGCATGAGATAAAACTGAAACCTGCTTTGCTTCTCAGCTGCCACATTGGATCTGGAAGGGTGACAGTACTTTAAAAAAATGTTATCTGTCACTTAAATAACCAGATATGGCATGACTCAGAAAATGCAAAACAAGCAAAGACTTCTTAGAAGAGTAAGGTACTCTTCTTTCTTTACTGTCACTTTTCAAAAACCAATCTTCAGGTGGGAAAACAAAGAAAAAATATCTGAGAAACAACACGACTGTTGTGCAAAATTGAAGGAATTGCTCATTGAAGCTTTCAATTAAAATTAACATTGAGATTCTACTACCTTGTATAGAATCACATATGTAGCCTTTTAAATGCAAAACACCTTCTGCTCTGCAGCTGAGCTTCACTATTTGTCTTCATTTTCTAAAACAGCCAGGAAAGTGACTCTTATAAACTTTATTAATTAATTTTAAGAAAGAAGAAAAAGGAAATGCTGTGATGGGAGATGAATGAGATATTCCATACTAATAAGGAAGTGTACCCACATAGTTGTATCCTGTTACACTTCCTTATCCACACCACATATACTCGGACATAAGTTCAATGTAACTTTCTCCCAATTAGATGTGTGTACAGAGGCAGCCTAACTCTAGAACACAGGCTACACTTGGACCACTTAATGTTCCTTTTGTAAAAATTGACTATTAATTATTTGAAAATAGTTATCACCCCTTTCAACTTCCAGAAATTTCTAGTGCTATGTCAAGTTATTTTAACTGCAATAATATAGCTGTTGGTAGCAGAGTCAAGCTAGAAAATGCCTTTGCCAAATTTTGACCACATGTAGGCAAAAATCAAGAATCTGATGGAGATGTCTAACACAAAAGTAATCTAGTTATCGTTCATTCCAAATCCTTTGAATTTTCCAAATTACGATTGTTTTTTAACTAACTTTCTTCCAGGATTTTTTTAAATATTACCATTTAATGCCTGCTGCTCCTCCAAACAAAAAATTTGTGGTCCAGACAATATTACAAAGCTTTACTTATATTAACATTGTCCATTTGAAATATATTGGCTGACTTTATGATGTTGGTTGTGTCATTAAGATGGTATTAACTTTTAATGACCAAAAAGATCTTCAAGAAGATCTGTCCTCAACCTGATCCTTCAGGTCAGCTGACTTTATAATCATTTTAAATTCCATTATGCTTAGGAATTTGAATGAATGAATGGATGGACACGTGGATGGTTAGACGTATGCCTGGATGTAGAACTGAAGACAACAGTTGAGATACATGTAGATCAGTGGTGGGATTCAAATAATTTAACAACCGGTTCTCTGCCCTAATGAATGGCTGGGTGGGTGTGGCTCAGTGGTCATGTGACTGGGTCGGCGTGGCCAACTCAACATCACTCATATCAATGGGTGCTTCACCTTAGCAGTTACAGTGTAATAAGGATTAATGGGAGAGGCAGTTTCTGTAAGCAGGGCAATAAAGATTAGGCTAGAAACAACACCAGAATGTTTCCTTTCTGCCTTCCTTACAGGAATTAGCCCTGTAAAGTGGAAAAAAACAAAAGGAGATTTTTTCCAACGACCGGTTCTCCCAACTGCTTAAAAAGTTAACAACTGGTTCTCCCGAATAGGTGCGAATTGGCTGAATCCCATCACTGATGTAGATGACCTATAGGCTATTCAGAGTAAATCATAGAAGCAGTTTAGACTTGCATATTTAGCTGGGCAATTTATTACTGATATGAAGATGGATTTAAGTGAAACTAGTTTGGCTATTGAAAAAAGGTTAGAATTGGTTAGATTGCTCAGAAAGTAAGAATGCTGTTCCTAACAGTCCCAGGCTATGTAGCCAATGATGAATTAATCCAAAATATTTGGTAGGTATCAAACTGTTAATTCCTGGATTAGAGAAACACTCTTTAGAATTTGATTCATCTTTCTAATTCTGATTCATGGGCTAAAAAGTGGGGAACTAAACTCTTCCTTTGGAAAGCTGACATCAAATAAAGAACTTAATTCAATGAGCAACTGACAGGAAGAAGACAGCAGAATTTGCACTTGTTGTAAGAGGGCCGGCAAGAAAACATATTTTAAGGTAGAGCAGAGGTAGATTAGATTTAGTATGGGTTGTGAAGGTACTTATCATCTGTATTTTCTGTGCAACAAGAACCTAGAAGTGGATGTTACACCAAGCAGATAATTCTCATATATACTATAAACATATACAGATACCCCAAGGCACATAAGTTTTATCACTACTCACTTTTGGTCTCAACCACTGTACTTTTCTCAGTTTCTCTTGTGAAAACAAATTAAGTCCAATGGAATAACTATTTGCTGGGAATGTGTCATCTTCAAAAAGTAGGCCCTGATGCAGGCAGTAGTTTTGCAGTTTAACAAAGTCCTGGTTGTTAAATTTCAAAGGGAAAGCTGGGCTTCCTTCAGTTGCTTGATTTTGCTTGAGAAGCAGGTTCTTGTCTATTTCCTTTAATGAGAAAAGGGGAATGGAGAAGAATTTCATTAGTTGACAAATCTAAGAACTGGAATTCACTGAAGAGAAAAAAAGATCACTCCTATATCATCAAATCAAGAGGACCTAGGTTTGTCTGAAATGTGCAGTAATCTTATGCAGAAAAATGTAAAAAAATAACATTCAAATCAGGAAAAATCAATAGTGGGCACTTTTTCTAGAATTTAGTTTCCTTATGATTGATTAGGAATTTAATTCAAGGATTGGTGACATTGGGGGACCTCAGAGTTGCATTTCACAATTTTGGAGGATGGTGTCAAGTCTTTCACACAGTCACAGAAGCAAAATTGTGCAGATTCCATAAGGCGAGTTAATACTCACATCAGGATTAAGATACACACTTTTTGGAAATAATAAGGATCTCCATCTCTAATTTATTAGTGAATTAATTCAAGCAGAGTCTGTTGGAACACTTTTAATCTAGAACATAGAAGAATAGAATTGGAAGGGACCATGAGGTATTCTAGTCCAATCCTCTGCTCAAGCAGGAGACCCTATATTTTTCAAGAGAAATGGCTGTTCAGTGATGGAGCACCCACAACTTCTGAAGGTAAGCTGTTCCATTGGTCTCTTCCTGTCTTTTTTTCAGCAGGCATGAACTGCCATTTATGAGATAAGCTATGATTAAATCTTATTGTTATCTCTGATTGTTTCTGTCCATGATTGAATGATGTGCATGCCAAATTGAATCTGTTACAAGCAGGATTTCATGCACATGAATATAAAATCTGGATTTTCAATCCACCTGCTTCTGCCAACAAATGCTTTGCCCAATAAAAGTAAAACCACTGGGATAATTAACTGGGTACAATCTGATTGGATGAAAATGAATTCTGAACTAACTAAAATAATGAGTATATATAAGATTGCTTTATGTAGCTGAGCATTCACATCAACTTCAAAGCTTCCCCGAGAACTTCTTTAAGCCCTTCTTTAAGCCCTCATCCATGAACTAGGTGGTTGCACACCAGTGGTGGGTTTCAAATTTTTTTAGAACCTCTTCAGTAGATGTGGCCTGCTTTGTGGGAGTGGCTTGCCAGCCATGTGACTGGGTGGGAGTGGCTTGCCAGTCATGTGACTGAGTGGGTGTGGCCAACTTGTAAAATGTGGTGAAACTCACTTAACAATGCTCTTGCTTAGCAACCAAAATGTTGGCTCAGAAACTCTGGCATTTGAAGCACGCAAGCCTTAAAGCTATCAAGTTACAAGGCCCTTGCATCCCTAACCCTTTAGAAAAAACCCAGGTGTGTTCAAACTTGACAGCTTTAAGACTTGTGGACTTCAACTCCCAGAATTCCTCCTCTCGCTCTTCATCTTGATGTTGTGCAGACGGGCGAGGGGAAGGGAGCTGGAACTGGTTCTAAATGGCACTGTAGATTTGTGAAATGTCTTCTATAGAAGATGTTAGAACTGGCAGGAACCCACCCCTATTGCACACCTTAAAGAACACATTTAGATCTGGCTTCTTTGCAGGCTGATTTTGCATCTTGCACTAGCTCTCTGCCACAAAGGTACATTTCCCGCGAATTGATTAATTAGTTTCTACATTGACTTAAATAAGGAAAGCAGTTCCTTCTTAAAGATGAAATTGGATGACATTCCAAACTAAGCTTCCACTGACACCAAGAATTAATATTCTTTTCCTGGTTCTATTTCTCCTACAACAGATATAAATCTTATGTAATGTAGCATAACACGACAAGAGAATGGTTTCCCCTTAACAAATACTCATTTGCAACAGAGCTCAAGTCCCTGCATGCAAAGATCTATTTCTCCTAATGCAGTTCCAGCAAAACTGATGACTAATTCCACAGCCCAAATTAAAACTAACAGAGCTTGAAGACGGGGGCTGACACATGCCCAATCTTTCTTTTCACTCCCTCTTGATGAAGAACAGAAAGAACTTTTATCATGTGAGCATGTATGCTTAATTACATTGTTTAACACACTGGGAATAATTTAGTAAGTGAAGTGAAAAAAAGAAGGCATGTTGCTCTCCTCTGCGCTGCAGAAGAACTTTATTGACTTCATAAGAAAGGGTGTTTGGAGACATATGAACAAATGTCAGAGGTAGAATTTCCTGCCATTTAAAATTTCCTGTTAGAGAAAAAAAGACTGAACACTAGCCAAAGATAGATAGTATTTAGACTTGCGATTGTAGGAAGCTGCTTTTTGTTAGTTTAGCTGGATTAGTAACTACTAATTAACTAGTTAATTATTGATTAAAACAGTAATTAGTTCATTAATTAAATATTAATTAAATATTAATTAAAATATTAATGAGTAATTACTAAGCATAGCACACAAAATTTTCTGCTACAACATCCTACTTGTTAATGACTACTTCAACCGCAATAATACACGGGCAAACAATAGATACAAACTCAAGGTAAACTGCTCCAAACTCGATTGCAGAAAATATGACTTCAGCAATAGAGTGGTCAATGCCTAGAATGTTCCACCCGACTCTATTGTTACATCCTCAAACCCCCACAGCTTCAACCTCAAACTGTCTACCATGGACCTCACCCCATTCCTAAGAGGTCTGTAAGGGGGCATGCATAAGAGCACCAGCGTGCCTACCATCCCTGTCCTATTGTCCCCATTTATTTGTATCCATTTCCTGTGCTCATGTCCATGTTTATACTTATATCTGTTATCTCATACATGTTGGACAAACTAAATAAATAAATAAATAAAAATTACTGTCCACTCTAAGAACATAAGAAGAGTCACAGTGGCTCAGATTATATAAATCTATCAAGTTAAGCCTGCAGTTCCCACACCAACCAAAAAGCTTGGATACATATTTTTTTAATTTTTATTTATACATTTTTGTTTAACATATGTAAGTATTTAGTAGTGTATTGTGCCTAGAATGGGTCATTTTACATATACATAGTAAAAGTAGTAATAATATTCTTTATTTGTACATAATAGTATTTTTCCAACTTCTAATTTTATGTAAGCCGCCCTGAGTCCCCGCGGGGAAAAGGGCGGCCTATAAATATTAATAAAATATCTAAATATCTAAAATATCTATTTTCTATCTTTATTTATCATTGATAAAATAAATCCCATGTTAAAAAATATTCTTTGCCAGATACTTTTTTTAAAACTCTATCTTGCATTGATGACTTTAGAATGATTATTAGAAGTCACTTAAGACTGCCAATACTTAATTGCACCCTGGAGATTTTTCTAATATTCCCCTCAGATTTCACCAATGAGTTTAGAAAATAAATGGCTCTTGGTTGCCTGAAAAGATCTGATGCGTACTAAATTAGCAAAATGGTTTCAACAAATTAGAAGCAGTGCTAATTATGGTATTGGCAGGTTAACATACATGATTCACATCATAATACTGAAATGAAGAACTAAAGCAAAGAGAAGAGGTATCTTTGTTCAATTCCTCTATAATAGCAGTTTCTAAACCTGGGTGGATCTTTGAGGATACGTTGATTTGCTGGCGATCTGAATGAAGTGGCTTTATTGAAAAGATGGACATCAGATTTTCTTTGTTGAAGGTGTAACAAAATTGTGAGTCGTGAACATCTGGTATCTTTTGGGAGTGATATTTTCATGTTTATAAGCAGCTCTTTGTCTCACTGTCCCATGAGTCCATCTCTGAGATTTGCCCACCTCATCTGTTTCCTTGGTTCATTTTTTTAAAATCATCAGGTAAGAATGCAAAAAATAAAATAAAATAGAATAATAGGAGAAAATATCCAATGAGATAACCTGGCAAGTTTCTTGATAGGGGAAAGTGTGAGTATGTAGCATTGCATTCCAATTATGCTTGTATACATCTACACATATCATCTCTAAATGCCATAATTACTCCTACCTCATCTCTTTGCTCACATATAGTTGTTTCCTGCTGGAGTGCCATCTGTTCTATAGTGAGGATTTTTAGATAGTAGTATCTCAGCAAATGACTGAAAATTTGCTTCAGTAATTAAGTTATACAAGTTAATCTCTCTCTCTCTTTTAATTACCTGCACAACATTGTTTTGAAGACTCCCACACACCCACATACATACTTCCATTTTCTATGTAGATGCTATTTTTTTGTATTATATGAACAAAACAAATTAAATATAAAAGATGCCTGGTTGTATATGTTCATTTGGAGATTACCAACCACAACTGCATGGAACATGATGATGAAGCATGCTATTTGGAGTTTGAGTGGGGTTACCATCTTGAGTACCTTAAGCCGAGGCAGAGGCTCATTACAATTATTTTTCTGATAAAGTATCAGTGGTGGATTGCAGGTGGTACACCCTGGTACAGGCGTACCGGTGCCTGCCGGGAGTACCCGGTACCATTCTGGTATTGTGCTCTGGAGGGCCCACCTGCCCTCCCAAGCTCCTTACCTGTATTTGAGCTCTTTGGCGCTTCTGCGCGCACAGACGGAGCATACGGCGCCTGTATGACGCTCCGCTGAGCAGCTGGAGTGTCACAAAGGTAAGGATGCATGAACGCACTGTGCAAGTGTGCACACGTGCTGCGGGCATACATGTAGGAGACACTGGGCCCCATTGCACCGTACCATTTGCAATGGGATCCAGAACCCAACACTGTAAAGTATGCCTGCTTTTGAATCTAAACTTGGGAAGAAAACTGATTCTGCACATGTCATTTATTCACAGTCTTCCCCATTGTGCAAGCATTGTTACATTTCTATTTACACAGAAATATTTTTACATATAAAAACTATATCCATACCCATAAATGAGTATATGTCTATTTCAAGCGCCCCTAGTTTCTTTCTCTCTTCTTTGATGATGATACATTTTAATTTCTTTAGTGATGCAAAAGATTGCATGCTGTATAGGATTTGCCTGCAGCTGGCTATTTATTTTCCACTACAGAATAAACTAGGATTGTCCATGTGTCATCGTGATTTATCCACCATGGTGAGGAAAATTTAATTAACTTAACCAATCCAG